GTCAGAGCAGAGATGCTGCAGCTGTCAGTGTGACAGAGCTTGAACTCGGGTGATTACAGTTTGAGACAGGGAATATTTAATGAAAACATTTAATTTAATCCAAAGAAATGCCATATTGTTCTTCCTATGAAACAAATATCAGCCAACCTGTCAGATAATTTGCTTGAATGCGCATACTGAAAGGAACATGAGAGTGTTGTGTGTGTGTGTGTGTGTGTGTGTGTGTGTGTGTGTGTGTGTGTGTGTGTGTGTGTGTGTGTCCGCGAAGTTCTACAAGTCTGAAATTTAACCTTTTACCATCTCACCGGCTGCGCTGCGGTTTCACGTCTCCAAAATATGCACGCAAGGTTCAAAATATATAAGGGCATTTTTCCACCACGTTTTTGTTATAAATCCTAAAATGCTTTATTTATTTGAAGATTTATGTCAGCCCCATATTTGCGTAAGCAAGTTTTAGAAATGAGGCACCAGGTGCAGATCTCGCACTCCCGTGGTCACTACACAGCAGCAGCGGTTTGCTGTGTCATTTTCACTCTGCAGCAATGCATTCTGAAGGCGTGCGCTCACACACAGACAGATGAAAATGACGGACGGCCTTCATATTTTTCTGTCAATGTTAAAAAACAGCTGCCCCTGTAACAAGCACATTAAAAAACACAAACTTAGATATGAATGTAAGAGCCGCATGAACAGGGTCCGAAATTAACACTCGCCACTCGCCAAATGCGAGCAATTTGCTCCATTTGGCGAGTAAATTTTTGAGCTCTACCTGCCACCTGGCGAGTAAATGTTTGCACCAAATTAGTTATGTTTATCAGTCATCTTCCATGGATGTCTGATACTCCTCCCGCCTGCATGCAACGTACACAAACGTACGCGAAACGTGAACGTCCAACGTCATTTCCACCTATCCCATTCAATCAGTTTATCAAGTTAGCAGTTAGCTTCGTGTTAAAACTAGCGGTGAAATGGAGTCAGCCAGCCGTCCAAAAGAAAACTCATCGAACTGGAAGAAAAACCACCAGGACCAGTGGCAACCAGAAGATTTTGTGAAAAGTGGCGAACCGGAGATGGCGGAGTCGTGAGACAATGGCTACATTATGATGGCCACGTAGCTTTGCTGCCTTTCACAGACAACTGTCCCTCGGCATTCTTCAAATATCCAATAAATGCCCGTACTTCCGACTTTGTCATCTTTGAGGGATAATAAATGTCCCAAGTGCAGCCGTCTCCTCCTGCCATTATTTCAGCTTTAGCTTAAAGAAAGTTTTGGTCGTAAACAACAAAGTGCGCATGTGCCGCCGGCAACTTCTAGCAGATGATACGGTGGCTGGTAAGGGTCACCGCGCCTACACCGCAGCCACGGTAATCCACCGAGATAATATATATTTTTTAAAACAAGATGGTTATTATTATTGTCAACTTTTTTACCGGGGTTTACCGCTACACCGGTTACCGTGACAACCCTAGCCCTGACACACTTTCAGATATTCTCATGGTGCAGCAGTGTTCTCCAGAGATCAAGGACTATGACCCAAATGAGGCTGTAATGCTTTGGCACAAAGACGGTGTCAGAAGCAGGAGGCCAGACTTCATGGACAGAGAAAACAAGGAGTCTGACTAGATTTCAATGAAAGAGTTCGTAAAAACATCTCTAAAAATAAATAAATAAATAGTAAAAATGACAAAAGAGTTGTTTTCCTTATTAATTGATGTTTTAATTATTTTGTCACTCTGTTTGGAATCAACATAATAAAGAATTACATGCTTTAGGTAGATCTAAATTATTTAGAATTTTGGCCGGTAAAAAATATGCTTGGCCGGTAGATTTTCATCATTTACCAGCCAACTTGGCCGGTGAGTAAAAAGTTTAATTTCGGACCCTGCACATGAATCTAGGCAAAGAGCTGCATGCGCTCCGAGAGCCGCGGTTCACCACCCCTGCAATAGGGAAACTAGTTATTCTGGTTATTTTAATGGAAAAAAGCTTGAAAGGCTTGACTGCTGCTGCTGAGAAAACACAGGAAGCACAGTTCCTTTTATAACCCAAACTCTCTGTCTTCACCTCACAAAACGGCCCTGTCAGAACAAGTGGGGCCAGTTAGAAGAATTTATGACTGTGTCAGAGCAGAGCAACGGCCCGGATCTGTGCTACCATCTAATTTGACCCACAGAGAGAGCAGAATAGATGGAAAACAGATAGATGAGGCCCTGAGGGCTTGCTATTATAACTGGCAAACTTTTTGGGTCTGTTGCCAGGCTTTGGTTTGACATTGGGTCTAAGATGACCATCAAAGTAAAGAACTAAAGCCAAGAAAATTAGATAGTAAGTTTATGGATATGCGTGGGCAACATTTGATAAAAGCAACAGACAGAAAAGTTAATGCAGCACGTACGAAACGAAAAGGAACAGAATCTTATAAAAGTCTTGCAGAAGGCTAACAGACTCCATACTCTTCTAATCGGCACTATAAAAAACAGAATTTATGACAGTTGGGAAATAAAACATGAAGCCAAAAACCGGTATTTACTTTGTAAACCTGTCAAAATAAGAATTTAAAAATCATTTGGTCATCTGGCGATACCACAATACAATGGCGGATATACGATATTTTGCAATACTAAAAGCCAGATGATATTTGCAAGTTTTAATACTGAATATAGTTGGAAATCTCAGGCCAGACGCTTTCAAGACACATCCAGTGTTACCGCAAGATCTTGTTCTGTCAGAATGAAAGCAGTAAACACTGCTGCCACCTAACAGTCGGAGGTTGAACTGCACCACAAAATAGAAATACAGTAAATTATTTTGTATGTAAAATTTCAATAAAAATCTATCCACTTTCGTCATTAAGTTAATTTTGTGTTGTATGTAAACAGCAGCAGAAGAGTCCTCAGTAACACCTATTGGACGATCTGACGAAGGCATCAGAAAGGAGCCAAAGCTGCCAGCAAAAGTAGATAAACAACTTTTACTAATCTGTGTATGCATATGAATCTGGAAAAGGAATCAATAATCAATACACTGACTTATATTGTTTCAACACAAAATATCATGATATTTTAGTGTATCAATATTTTCTCACATCCCCAAATATTCCTATTTGTAAAATATCTACAAAGTTTCTTCACAAACAATAATTTGATGTTGATGGTATTATTATAATTCCACACTGGCATTCTAATTCTTTAACCTAAGAGCACAAAACTGTCTAACTGGGCTGTGACCGATGATAGTATTTGTTTTGAAACATTTAAGAAATCTGCTCACATTACAGAGGGTTCTCAGTTTCCCTGCGTTAGTAACAAGGTCCTGCTGTCAAAGTCTGAACATGTTCTAAATTTTACAAGTTCCTCAAAATTACTACAGAGTCACTGTTCACATCTGAAACCAGTCTGGATCATTTCTCTACTGCTTATTTAAATTTAGTAAATCAGAAGTGTGTGAAACGGGGGATTACTACTGAAATGTGCATTGTCTAGTTGCCAACAATCTCTGCCCTGGCTTAAACACGAAGTCACTAAACTATGTGAGCGGAAGTTAAAAATACTCATGTACAAAATGAGACTATGGCATAAAGATGCATGTAATATGTGTACAAAAACACCCTAACACTGTTACAGATATCCTGAAAACCACAAACTCTAGATTGCTTTAACAGTGAAGACAAACCTTATCATCAGACTGTCATGCACACTACACATGCTAAAAGCTGCTGTTGGGGAGCCACTTGAGTCCAAGTTTGGCTGTGCTGAGGCCTGGTGACAGGTGTTTTTGAGCGTGTGTGTGTGTGTGTGTGTGTGTGTGTGTGTGTGTGTGTGTGTGTGTGTGTGTGTGTGTGTGTGTGTGTGTGTGTGTGTGTGTGTGAGAAAGAAAAACTGGTAGCCGCTGGGAGCAGATGTGGGCAATCTTTGTAAACTATTAGAGCTGCAGGATCTCCTTACGTTTAACTCTATAAAGACCAACAGAAAACCTCTCAGTGCCATTCTCTATACGACACATTTACTCTGGTGATGGCGGCAGATGCAACACTTGTACATGACAGAACATTTTCCTTGCCTAATTTAGTGTTGCATTTGTTTTCAAATGAAATAAATCCTGAAATCATAATTAGTTGTGACACTTAAAGTGGACATATTACATCTCTTTTTAAATAAGCTATAATAGGGCTATGGGGGCTTAGAGTAGAGCTGCTGCTCCTTCACATCAAGAAAGCACTCTTCCCTAAGAAATCTGACAGAAAATAGATGGAATACTGGTATTACCATCTGGAGCGTTTATAGAGGCAGGCTTTACTCCTCCTTACTGTACGCATAATCATTGCAAAATGGCAATGAAACATACTTTGCGGCAATTAGTTGCCGTTACAGTGAACAAGACCCTTTCCACCGGCCGTGAGGCGTCACGTTTTGAATGTGTCCCACAAGCAAAAGAGTGCATGGCTTCAGTTCGAGTCTATTTCTTATGTGATAAGCTTCCAGAAAAAGTCAAAATCCGCAATACAGATCGGTCAGGCAGGAAGTCAGACAAAAAGGCAGTGTAAAATACTTGGGAACTTTCAAAATAAAAGTTGCATTAATGGGTAAAAAATATGCTATTTCCTGTGAAACCTTCGCAGCCGAGGTAAACAGAACAGAAAACAAACCAGACAGCTATCTTGCTTGTTATCGTCTGAACTTCTAAAATCAAGCGTGGTGTTGCAATTCTCTCGTGATTTTGTGACCTCACAGGACTAGTTTTGGGGAACGCGTTCACTCCTAAATACCCTTTAATGGAAACCAAATTTAAAAATGTTCTGTAGATGTACTCTTGCTAAACACATTTATAATAAATGCACATTAGGTTTCATGATTTCTCTAATTTGTCTTTTAAAAAATAGCAATATATCATTAAGATGGATTACATGTACATAGTTACCACCTGAAGATTCACAAAATTTAGATAATCTATAAATCACAGCCCAGCTAACCTTTGGGTATGAACAGATTCTTCCTCTCACCTTTATGCCACCCATTCTCTGCTCGCCCTTGAACTCTTTGCCATTCTTCAGCCAGTGGATGGTTGGAGTTGGGTTTCCGGTTGCAGCACAGCGAAACTTGACTGTGTTTGCTGCAGGAACAGCCAGAAGCTTCTTGTCCATTTTCTCAGGCTTAATCCAATATGGCGGTCCTGTTGGTCCAAACAGAGGATAGTTAGAATAGAACTGAATAGACTGTATTAACTCCGCAGGGGGAAATTCATTAATTACAGTAGCACATACACTTAGAAACAGTAACAGATTACAGGTAAATACACAAGGTCAGTAAGCTATTTTTGAAATTTTAAACCATGAAAAACAGCTGATTGATCGATTGATTGATTGGTTGACTGATTGAAATGTTTATTTGAACATACGACAACATATTTTTTTAAATCAATGAACATAGTAGGGAAGAAGACATACAATATAAAAAAGTTTTTGTCCAAAGGGAGTAAGAAGAAGCAAGTGCTTATTCAATCCAACCCCCTTGTCTCACATTACTAATTTACCTTTACTTTACAAATTACCATCTATAAATGCATACATACATCCATATTCATTTATATATATATATGTGTGTGTGTGTGTGTATATGCAGCTACTAATGAGAGCATTTTGTATAAACATTTTATGGTACTAGTGATCGTAATTATAATAACAATGACAATAATAACATAAACAACGGCAAAATAATAATGACAATCATAGTTTCCAGAACCTCAGAGAATCTCATTTTCATATCCATTACATTTTTTTTATACAGTGATTTAAATTTGTTTATATTTGGACACTGTTTGTGTATTTCCTGCAGCCCATTCCACAGCTTCACTCCACATACTGATACACAAAAACTCCTTTTAGTGGTTCTTACTCTATAGGCATTTTAAAAATTTTAGTCCCTCGTAACTTATATCCGTCATCACTCTGGTTGAAGAGCTTTGGAATATTAGGTGGCAATAAGTGCTTACTAGCTTTAAACATGATTTAAGCTGTTTGATAATGAACCAGGTCTTGAAGTTTAATGTATTTTGACTGTAAAAACAAACAATTTGTATGATCTAGATACCCAACTTTATGAATGACACGACTTTACCCTCTTTTGCAATACTGATAGTGGGTGTAGTGCATTTTTATAATTGTTTCCCCAAAGCTCTATACAGTAAGTGAAATATGGCAGAACTGATGAACAATACAGAATATGGAGTGATTAACAGTCCAACATTTGCTTCATTTTATTTATAATTGCAATATTTTTTGCTGCTTTGGTTTGTTTGTGTCTAATGTGGGGCTTCCAACTGAGTTTCTTACCTAGTATCACACCCAAAAATTTGATTTCATTAACATTCTCAATTTTTTCATCCTCAATCTTTATACATACTTCTGTTTTGTTTTTACAATTGCCAAAAGTCATTACCTTAGTTATTTCTATATTCAATGAATTATTATTCAATTATTCAATTCAATTATTATTATTCATCCATTTTTTTGTTTACTTAATTCTTTATTGATAATACTTCCAGAGTAAAACAAATGTGTATCATCAGCAAATAAGATCATCTTCAGAATTTTACAGACTTGAAAAATGTCATTTATACATATATTAAATAGAGCAGGTCCTAATACCGACCCCTTTGGGACACCACGGGCAATCCCCATACTTTCAGAAGTGATATCATCCATTTTCACAAATTGTTGTCTCTTAGATAAATAATTGGTGATCCAGTCCAGTGCTATTCCCCTAATGTCGTACTGTTGAAGCTTGTTTATGAGAATTTAGTGATTTACTGTATCAAAAGCTTTCCTAAAATCTATACATACTCCAATAGCATATTTACCTTTTTTCTTCTTCTGGCTCTTGGAGAGTACAGATGCTTTTTTTCTCCTCTCCCTCCCTGCTCTTCCCAAGACTTTTTGTCCTGTCTGCCTGTGCACTGCGTGTCTCTGCATTTTTTCTGGAAATTCAATTCAATTCAATTCAAAAATACTTTATTAATCCCAGAGGGAAACTGATTGCTGTAGTAGCTCAGAATAATAATAATAATCAAGTCATCATAGAGTTATTGTATATTACAATGGCTGGTGGCAGGAAGGATCCCCAATATTAGGTCGGTGCACAGCCCGGAGCCCGGGTCTGGTCTGGTAGCAGGAGCTGAGCCTGTAGCTGCTACAGGCTCAGCTCCTGCTAATGCTGAAGGTGCAGTTGACCTGGTTGCTGCTGCTGGCCTGGTGGTAGCAAGAGGCAATGAGGAGGCCGGTGTATCTTTTGGCTGGGTCATATGGACACCTGTCTCTGCCCTCTTCAAAACCGGATGAATTAAAAGGAAAATTGGGTTTCCAGAACTATGCAACATAAGGGACACAGACATACTAATGTATTTGAGGAATAGCACAAGTATTGAACATACTGAACATTGGACTGATGTAACTGTGTAACAGGATAATGGCAGTACCAGTTCAGGTGCTTACACTTCATAAATGAAAAATTATGTAAATGATTTAATGATTAAGTCCATAAGTAAGCTTCGTGCCACTGTATTTCACACATGGTGCTGGAATATAAAACCATCAAAACGTTTACTGAAGGTGTGTGTGTACAACACTTTTACATGTGGCCTAGCTCCCTGAGCACGTCTGTCTTTGACTTGTAATTTTTTCAACATTTTGCACAAATCTCCCAGAGAATTTCCAAACACGTGTTATTGCTGTAAAAAGAAGAATGTACATAGACTTTACAATTGAATGAAAGTAATTAATCTTGAATTTCTTGAGTATTGTGTTATAATTTAAGAAAAATAATGTAATTACAAGAAATCTTCTTCCAACAAACAGCAAGGAGTACAAAGTCTAAGACTAACTTGATCTGTGTTTCATTTCTGCAACTTAAATTAGCTGAGAGTACAGAATCTGGAGGAAATTTGAAAACTGAGTTTCCTAAATATTCGTTTACCCATTTTCCTCCAACCCAGAGTGCAACCTGGTGTCCAGGCTGTTAAGTGCAGAATTCTGAGGAGGCGAAAACAACAGTTTGACAGATCTTTAAAGAACATTAAGGTGGTGTGAAGCATCCTGGGTACTAATCCGGAGTTTGGAAACATGTCAGAATGATTTATTGAGTTGTATTGAGGAAAAATCGGACAGAGTGCAACCAGTGGGATAAGCTCATTGTTTTCTGTTGTGTTGGTGTAGAGAATGAAAGCGGTGAAGCACAGCATGCTCACACTCTTCATGGGTCAGTGTGTCTGTGTGTGTTTGCGAGAACAAAGCTGGGATGGATGTCTCTTTTACTTCTCCAAATTCACACGAAGGCAGAGAAGCTAATTACCATCTCAATGACGCAGCTTGTATGTTTGCTTGTGTGCGAACAATCACACTGAGATCAGATAAAAGAAGTAAACCCGACCCTCAGCAACACAGCAAATTTTTACTTTATTAAGAAAATCCAGATAAGTCTTTTCTAAATGTGTAAAATGTGCAACATGTGAGTTTATCTAGATTTTCTAAAACAGTTCAGACAGACATTTAGTTGGCCTCTGCATACAAACACTAGATTTGTTGGCAGAATGATTACAGCCAGATTAAAGGAGAATAACAGTGATGAAAGAGAGAAACAAAAAGGTCATTTAACTAAATGTCACTATACATTTCGACAGCAACTTAGTTACAGCCTTTAGTGGTTAACCACTTAAAGCCTGAAATGAGAGATCATTATAAAAAACCTAGCTAAAGTTAAAGTAAACATACAATTTGTTCAAATTATAATAGTTTTATGGTCGATACGAAACATTTTCATGAAGTTCTGCACTAAATTCCTCTAACATAAAGTAATTCATGCAGCTTTGTTCTTGATGTTTTTAGTACCTTTGAGAATGAGCCATTTCAGGGCTCTGTTACTTGAAGAAAAACAAGCTGGAGCTGGTCACGCCCACCCATCCTCTGATTGGCTGCTATAAGCTTAGAAGCTCCAAAATCCATGAGAGGCTCGAAGTAGATCCACTTTCCCTCCAGTGTGTGTGGGTTGGTATCCCATTCAAACATCCTTGTTTGTGACATCACAAACAGGACTTTTTGAAACGGCATGTTTCAGGCACATCATTTCTAAACCAAACACTGACAGAAAACAAGGATATTTCTTTTCCCGCATTTGGATTGTTTAGAGGCAATAGAGACCCACATGGCAGCACAAATGGATGCAAAAGGTGATTTTTTTTTATAATGTCCAATATAACAAAACAACTAATTAGCTTCATTTTAATATTTAATTATAAAACAGTAATAAAAAAATGAATCATTTCCACCAGTAGATGCTAGGGGTTTTATCAACTAGTCGACTAGTCGACTTCACTGCTCTGTAGTGACTTTTTATGCATTTTATCGACTAGTCGCTGTCACGTGATAATGATCGACAAGATGCAGTCCTCGGAAAAGACAGCAGGCGACGAGCCCCTGCGCGTCGGGAGGCGACGCCCTGTGCCAGAGCGTCGGTACTGACGCCTGCTGTAAAACGGATATTTGACCGATTTGTGACCTTTACCCTCTTGCAATTTAACCTTCCCCTCACCCCCATCCTAACCTTAACCAGCTTGCGCATACAATGCTCTGATTGTTAACGTGCTCCAGACATCTGCGTCCTGAGCACGGCCACAGTAACATTATCAAATCAGGTGTCGCCACCTCAAAAACTAATTTAACACGCAATCGTTCATGTCGGCTCATTTCCTTTTATGTTTTCTGTCTTTTTTTTGTGCCTGATGCGTTTCGCTGCTGTGGAGCGGGGCGCATCACCTGTTTTGTCCTCCGGTGACGCACCCCACTGGTGCGGCTGGCGCGCAGCTCGCACTCCGCAGTTTTTTTGGTGAGTAGATCTTTTAGAACTGCAGTTCAAAGGTAACTCATGAGGTGAATATATATGAAGCAGGTAGCAGTTTTTCTTTAGGATTGAGAGGAGATGCAGGAAGATAAACAGAGACAGGACAGAAAAATAGTCAAATAAAAACTAGTTAGTTTTTGTACCTGGTGGTTGCAACAAACAGACACCACTGAAGGTAATCAGAAGTGAGGAACAGAAAATGAAATAATTATTTTAATGTTTAGAGCAGCAGGAACTCTGAGAGGCTGCAGGCGCATCAGTGAGTTTGCAGCCACTGCACAGGGGGAGGGGGGGGGGAGGGCTGAAGCAGAAACTACCGTTGTTAAAAGAAATGTGTTTAACTTTGAAAATGTGGGCGCAATTTTAATTGTCAAAAACTCCAGCAAACCCTCCAGCGATGGGGATTTTAAACAGTGGTCTACGAGGAGAACTGGACACGGTTCTGAGCAGGAATTTTTCAAAATAGGAAATTATGACGTTCAGATTAATTGTTCACTAGAAATATTGCTATTTTAGTCATTAACCCTTTAAATTCTACACTAAGACAAATTGCAATGAAAAAAGTTATTTATTAGTGCTTTGTTTAATGGGACAAAACGTATAACATTCTGTAATGTAATGTAACAATCATGTATGGTATTGCTAATAATATGGGGTAATAATGTATTGTAATATTGTTTATAACTTTAATTCTATATTCTTTTAGATATTTTTCTGATATTTTTATTTTAATTTCAGTTCATGCTTCAATAATATGTATAGCCTAAGATGAATTGTGTGAACTGGTTGACCAGCTAGTTCATGGTTTGAGAATAAAGTAAAGAAAATTAAAGTTATTTAAATAACTGAAAACACTTAAGCAGACTTTCTAGCACTGAGCACTGCAGCACTCTTATCCAAACATACTTATGAGCCGCAGCTGATGCAGATACGTTCTACTGTAAAAATATTAAAGGCCATTCATTAGTTAAGGAGAAGTAATATTTAGATTTTATGTGTAGTGCTGCTCTCATCAAGCAACACTGAGAAATCCTGTGTTGTGTGCAACTGGCTGGATGCTAACCTTTATCTAAACAGGGACAAGTGGGATTATTTGAAATGACAAAAGGGGGTCTAAGAGACAGCCTGAACCTCCACAGGGGCAGGACCTCTAAAATAATCCTTAACAGCACCGGCATGCAGTAGAAGCAGGTTCACCATAACATGTCAGTTCTTCAGTTACAGAGTCATGTCCGCCTGTCAGCTGTGGAGGAAAACTGAGGAGGGCTAATCCCTGTGGGAGCCTAAAAATACAAGACCGAGTCCCAGTTTGTTTGTTTTTCGTTTGATTAAAGACTCCAAATAATGTCTGAAGGAATAGCTGGTCACAGAACAGAGAAAGCTATCAGCAGGGGTGGTGGTCTGAGTCTCAACAGCTCCATTACAGCTCTAACCAGCATGACTTTAACACAAGGGTAGTAGATATCTTATAATGGCAGAACTCATCATAAATAACGTAGTTTTACCACGGTGAATCCTGAAGCCTGATTTATATTTTTCTGTCAATTTCACAAGGGAGAGACACACACGCATTGACAAACGGAGGTGGAAAGAGTACTACAATTTCCTACTTAAGTACGAGTACCAATACTTTGATATTTTTTCACTCAAGTACAAGTAAATTACTTGCCTAAATTTTTACTCAAGTAAAAGTAAAAAGTATCTTAAATAAAATGTACTCAAAGTAAAAGTGACTTAGTTACATCTTTGTCAGCGTAAGGATGGCTACATGTAAGTAGGGCAAAATCACAACGCCAGTTCGTAATTCGCTCGTGTGTCTGGGCACACACACACACACACGCACGCACGCACGCACGCACACACACACACACACACACACACACACACACACACACTGCAGCATTAAAGAATCATGTGAATGACTAATTTAACTACACCGAACTGCTTTAGTAATAATTTAATCTCTTATTCTGGAGTAAAATAAAGAAACAAGCTAAATCATCACATATCTGTGGCATCAAGAAGCATCTTCTGAGTTCAAACACAGGGATGGAGCACAATGTTTACACCTGAACAGTATCAGGA